CACCAAACTGACAGACTCTGAAACAGGACACGGCAGCACGCAATAGCCAAAGTGCTGAGGCTCTCTAGTATGTCAGGTTATTGTCTACAAACTTAGAGGGTAATCAGAACAGGACAGCCATAGGAACAAGATGGTACTCAGCAGTAACAGATTATTGACTAGCTATACTGTTATAATAACCATAAGGCACACAGCCTTCTTCAAGTTTATTTCATAAACTATCACGTTCATTATAATAAAAGACCATCTACCAACCAAAAATTACTCCAGTCTGAATTTTCCCCTGTCCAACTGCATGGGATTTTTTTAATCCAACAGATGAACTCATTTGAACTATAAGCATATGTCTACTCAAAATGCTTTAGAACCGAAGGTTTGTGCTTCTTCAGAACATTATTAATTACCTCTGAAGGACTTGTTAAATTTCATTTGCAAATAGCTAGACACCATATGGGAGACAACTACAAATTATTTCTGCCTCCTGACACATCAATGGATTTTAAAATCTATTCAACCTTGCCACAGGTAGAATTTTTAATGTTTTCACAAACAGCTACACTTACAATCTTGGATATTTTCTAAAGTCTACATTACATTCTAGTAGACCAACTGCAAATAACTTAAACATCAAAAACACTGAAATCTGCATGGAAATCAAAAGGTTCAAAAATGTGACAGTCTGATTTTTCTAGAACAAATGAAAATTACACACAACACCTAAAGCAAACCTAGGTACCTAAGGCAAATCAGTATGCATCTATTATGCTATATTCCAACTTCTTTTTATAAAGGCACCGGAAATAAAAAACTAACACTCAGGTATCCCTATAAAACAAATTACATATTTAATTAGTATTACAAGATTAACACACACTTATACTCTAGGATAAACCATCTCTAGATTTACATGAGCCATCCTAAAGGCAATAAAAAGATATTCCAGATTCTAAACTGGAGAGATCTCCTTTACAGGAGATCAGTTAACTAAGACTTCATGAACAGTATTTTTGAGCTGCATCAAATAAATAATGTGAATATGAAGACCAGATAACAAGAACAGAAACAAAAGAATGCCACTATAATATTCATATACAGCATCTACACCAAATTGTATCTGAGCAGACAGATGGTAGATAAAGTTTGTAAGTAGGCTCCACATTTGATTCCCTTGCTATTAATAGAAGCCTAGGCTGTAGTGGCCAAGGTTATATCAGGCTAGACACACTCCAGTTTCCTAAGTCCATCATGAAGGCCTCCTAACTTTGACATGCAAAGCATGACTTTTGTAATCGTGCAGTTGATTTGTATACACAAAGTTAAAACACTATCTAAACATGCTGCATTGTAGCAATTCAAATCAATAGGTAAAACTGTGTGTTTGCACACAATAATGTTTTTTACATTGGTTAAAGTTTATTTTACTTTGTCTTGCACAGCAAACAAAGTTTCTAGTTCACTTAACTGCAATGGCTGAACACCAGTTCTTGTCTATATAAGCAGAAGTGACCTTCTGTTAAATGCAGACACTCCATATGCTGCCATGTATTGCCCTCCTTGTATGTCCAAGAGGACTGGAAAATCTACTGCACAATCCCAAGTGTTGTTTCTGCACAGATATTATTTATTTGTTCAACAATTCTTTAGCTTTAGTGACCAAAACTCCTGAAGGGACCTACCTCACAAACAAGACAATTTACTCTCAAATTCTACCATTACAAATAATAAGTAGAATACATAGAAATGAGATTGTTACTCCCTCGGGGTTTGCATCTGCTTACATTGCAAATTTAACAACATTTTTTATTTCTTCTTTATTAAACCAGATTTCCTCAAGAAGAAAACTGTTCAAAATAAGAAAAGATAACTGTGAAAGCTATACAGTCTGCGACGAGTGCAGCATCACAAGTCGTTTTAATATTCACCCTAAAGTAGTTCAATTTGTGTGTGCTCTGTTAAAATCCGGCCACTAAGAGGAGCCCTAAGTCTGTTCCACAATGAACAGTGGAAGAAGTAGTATTAATTTTCTTTCCTATTTCTCAAGATCAATGGAAACTCTTACTTCAGTGATGATGAGGAAAGCAGAATCACCACAAGTTGAAGAAGAACGATAAAGAAAGAATCACTTCAGCAGTAGCAACTTGCAACCACTGAAGATTACTGAAAACAAAAGGAGGAAAAAAATTCTGACATTGGAGTAAGTCTATCAATAAGAAAAGAGTCCACCAAAAAAGAATGAGTAAATGATGAAGACAGATTGCAAGAGAAAGAAAAGGTGAGAAAAGCATAAGAAACAAAAACTGAAGCCATGTCAAGGCCTGCAGCAGAACAGTGATTGCAGACCTAAAGAATAGGAGTCAAGGTAATGACATTCAAGGAACAGAAAAAGCAGAATTAATGAAATGTCTACGTAGGAATGCAAAAAGATAAGGAATCTTAAGATGCTGAGTGAATGATACAGAGTTAGAGCCTGCAAAAACAAGAAAATCTGCAAAAACAAGAAAATAACCAAGGAAATGTTTTAAATTTTCTCTATGTTCCTAGTGTTTTCTGCGAGGTATGCCACAACTTACAATTCAACAGCATATCATCTCATCCAGGCTAAGACAGTCAAGACAGACCATTCCAGAAGGTTTGTCAAGAGAATCCTCATTCAAGCACTCCAAGCTGTCATCTAGTGGAGCCTTTAGCTAGCTGGTGAATCAACAGGAACACAAGGAGCTCCAGAAGACACTCAGCTGCAAAACCTGAAGTTTACTGGCTAGGTACCACCTTTATCCAGTAACTGGTTGACTGATCATTCCTTTCACCATTGAGTACATACGAGAACAAAGAAGGGTTTAATGAGGTACCTGATTCCTCTTCTTCTGACCAGGCACTTCAGTCTCGTCTCCAGTAGGTCAGAATACAAAAGACCTTTGACTTCCAAAAACCCTGCCCTGTTGTATTCGTCCAAGCGCTACCACATTCCTTGATTTAAATCTAAGGTGGCAAAATGAACTGCAGACAGGGAAATCACACAAAAGTGCGTCCCTCTTATTCAATCTGTTCACTTTGGCTTATCTGCTCACACGCTGTCCCAAAGTATTTTGACTTCAGGGCTAGCTGTGTTAGGCCAAGGCTGCTAGCTGGAAGCTGACAGGTACTGCCTCCCATGCACTCTGCCTTATCAACTTCCCTGAGGGCTGGCACTCGGTGCAAGGGCAACAACATTCGCATGAGCGTCCTAAAAAAAAGGCACACCCACATCAACAAAGCCACCTTGCCGAACCCCGGCGGACTCGTCGCTCAGCCCTTGGTCCGAGCCGCAGCCAGGGACGGAGGCAGGCGGCCCAGGAGGCGGCAGGGGCCTCACTTAGTGCCCTCTCTCCCGGCACGGCCCGGGCACAGCTCTGCCGCCCGCGGGGCCGCCCCCGCCGGCAGGTGCCCGCCCGCCCCGCCGCGGCCGCCCCGCGCTCACCCGGCCTCCCGCATGACGTTGCTGTCGCCGCAGTCGCAGGCGCCCCCCGCCTGGCTCCGGAACATGTTGTAGTCGTGCCCGGCGTGCTCGCCCTGGTGGAAGCACTCGGCGCACAGGCTCATGCAAGGCGAGATCCCGCACGTCCGGCACCGGTAGGCCACGAAGTTGGCGGTCCAAACCAGGCCGCAGAGCGTGGCGGGGTCGTAGGCCCGCACGGTTTGCACGAAGCTGTCCCAGGGCTCCCCGCCCGACAGCAGGCAACGGCACCACTCCAGCGCCTCGCCCGCCGCCTCGCCGCCGCCAGGGCCCGCCGCCGGGGCCAGCACCCGCTCCAGCAGCGCCCGCAGCTTCGCCGCCGCCGCGCCGCTCTCGCCGCCCAGCGCCGCCTTCAGCCGCGCCGCCGTGGCCCGCTTGTCCCTGCTGCTGGCGCCGGCCCCCGCCATGACGGGACACCGAGGGGCCGTTACGGCCGCGCCGGGCTCCGGATCCGCGATCCCTCCGCCGCCCTCGCTCCCCGCCCCGCGGCGCCGCCCTCTCGCGATAGCCGCGGCACCGGCGCCCTGCCCGCCGCCCGCGCCCCCCTCCCGACACCGCCTCTCCCCTCCCCTGACACCACCCTCCTCTTCCTCCGCCCCTGCCCTCCTGCCGCCCTCCCAGCGCGCAGGTGCGCGCCCCGCGCCGCCGCCGCCCGGAATGTCGCCGTCCGCCGGCCCGAAAGTTCGCGTTCCCGGGGTCCCGGCAGCCGCGGGAACCGTGGAGGGTACACCTGGGCCGCCGGCGGCCCCGACGGCAGCGGAGCTCCGTTGTTACCGAGCCGTGCCTGCAGCGAAGCGGCTGCCGTGAGACATCCGGTGGCCGCCCGTGTGCCCTGGCTACAGGGGTCCCGCCGGGCTCAGGTGGTGGCGGCTTTGAGGGCAGGAGCAGCTGCGGGGAATGTGGGAGGCACCTCTGAGGCTGCGGGCCGGCGTTTCTGCGCTCGCTGCCATCGATTGGCCCCGCTGGGGGTGCAGAGCAGGCCGGGCCCCGGCGGCAGCACCGCACCCCGGGTGTCCGCAGAGCCGCGGTACCAGCGTGCGGCTCCCTGCGCCCTGCTCCCGGGAGAGAACGTGGGGGGATGCGAGTTATCGTGTTTCGCACACCGATCGGCGGTTTTAAACCTCCATAAATAGATGTTCGACTGTGCAATGGAAAGCCTTATACGAAAAAAAAATCTGTTCCTAAATGAGAGTAACCCGACAGCTTCGGGCCTCAAGGCAGCTGCCTCCCTCTGGCTTTGCCTGCGTTTCCTATGGCTGCCCGTCCTATGGCTGGCGGCTTGCGGCGCGTTGCGGTGCCAGGTGAACGTTACTCTTCACGACCGCTTTTCCCAGCGCACCGGCAAAATTCCAGTTCCTTGTCCTGTCCCTAAGGGCACTCGGGAGCGGAACCACCGAGAAAGCCCGGTCTGCCAGGTGTGTCCTCCGGCCCTTTCTCGGGCACCGCGCAGCCGTGACACGTAAGGCTGCCATAAAACGTCTCGTGTTTATAACAGGCGAGAGCAAAGCTCGCACTCGCTAAGGACCCGCGGGAGGCTCCCGGGCGTTTCGTGCCCGCAGGTCCCGCCGGCGCGGAAGGGGCGGGGCGGTGCGCGCCGGGGCGGGCGCTGTGTCGGAAGTGCGCGGGCGCTCGGAGCGGCCCGGCCCGGCTCGGCCGCGCTGCGGTGAGTGCGCGCCGTACCGAGCGAGGGCGGCGCAGCGGGGACCGTACGGGCGGTGGCGGGCGCTGGGGTTCATCTCCTGAGCTTAGGGCTGCGAGGGCCCGGGCGGTAGAAGCGGAGCCCAGGGCCTGAGCTCCGGGAGCCGGTGAGGAGTGGGGCTGCCGCCGCCCGGGTCCGCCCTCGTTCCCCATCATGAGCAGCCAGCTGCGTCCCGGGAAACGGCAGCGTGAAAACACCCGGGAGAAGCTGAAGAGTACCAGGGGATTTTAAGTAGGAAATAATTTAAGATCATACTTTTTTTTAATATTGTTGTAACTGATTACACGTTATTTTATTTAGTTAAAACATAAACATGAAGAAATTAAAGCTTAAAGAACTGGAAAGCTCTCTTCAACAAGTTGATACTTTTGAAAGTCCAAAACTACTCCTTGAACAGTATCCAACAAGACCTCATATTGCAGGTAGGTGACCCACACCACTGTTTTCTCTTTTACTAGTTCATCACCACATTTAATTCAAAACGTTTTTCATACTGCATTGTCTCCTTTGAAAGCTTTGTATTAAAAGTAGTTAAGAAAGTATATCCAGCAGGAATGTGTATAGTAATATTCTGGTAATGTCCGTCTTCGTTTGAAAAATGCAACCTAAGACAATGTCCAATCCAAAAATCAAATTAATTAATCTAATAGATAATATTGTGATAGAAGCAGTCGTAATCTGTAACTGTAGAAGCTGAAATGGAGTTGTCATGACCCACAAAACCAGTAAAAGTGTATATACAGACACTCATCTATACCTTAATTATGCTCTTTTCTGTATTTTATATCCTTCTATTGTTTTCCCCCAAAAAAGTTTAGAGGCATACATTTTCCACAAGCAATACTCAGAGCTCTGTCTCTCCACCAAAGATCCAGTTTGTAACTAGTCAAAATGTTTTTGACTCTTCACAAATAAATGAAAAAGAGAATCACAGGCAGCGAGAACATCAGTTTAACTAAAGGTGTTTTCTAAAGAAAAATTAAAGAGCTTTCTGAAGGCAGAAACAGCTTTTCTTGATTAATCATGTACATATTTGGTATTATTGACCTGTTTTGTTTTGGTTTTTTTCCCCCAGCATGTATGCTTTATACAATTCACAATACTTTTGATGATATTGAAAACAAAACAATTGCAGATTTAGGATGCGGTTGCGGCATGCTCAGCATTGGAAGTGCAATGTTAGGAGCAGGGTAAGTATTTAATATTAAGTTCTGGTTATATTTCTTTCTGGCATAGAAGAGTAGAAAGTAAGATTAAAACGTAGCAATGCTGAACTAAAACATTTCAGATTTATAATCTGTTGCATAAAACTGTTTACCAAGTTTTGACCATCAATAGCCATTCATACAGTGAAAGTGATGGACAGCTGTCAAGAATTTGGAAGTAATTTTCTTTCCCCATAAGCATTAAATGAAAACATGAAACTTCCGTAACAAAATTTAGATTTATACTTGAGAAAGGGCAACAGAAGTACTTGAATTTTTATCAGCACTGAATTTATTATGTATGCTTGTTACATTTCTTAGGTAAAACAGTTGTGTACATAGATCCCTTACTGTAGAGTTTAAACACCATTTTAGTTTGTAGTAGACTAACATGTGACACTTTTCTTAATAGATTCTGTGTGGGGCTTGACATAGATGCAGATGCACTGGAAATATTTAATAGCAATATTGAAGACTTTGAGCTCACGAATGTCAACATGGTTCAGTGTGACATCTGTTCTTTATCTGACAGCATGTCAGATACTTTTGACACAGTTATTATGAACCCTCCTTTTGGTACCAAGCATAACAAAGGTTGGTAATTGTGAAGCTCAGTTAGAAATTATCACAAACAAAACAGCAAGAGAAATGCTTTCAATGAAGCATGTCCCTTCTTTATTAGTTATGTATTCTAATTTCTTAATGTTTTGTTATCTGGAATAATCTTCCTAAGATTAGCAACTTCAACATTGTAACTAACAGTCACTGGGGTTTGAAATAAACAATACCAAATATTTCATATCCCTATCATTTTTATTTTATTAAAAGCAATTGAGTATGTTTTAGAAATACTTTCTGTACCTTAATATATTGAGTGCTGTTTCTCAAGTAGCTATTAATCCAGAAAAAAATAAAGCAGATCTTTGCACTTCCATTTAAATTTCTAATAAATTCATTATTCTTTTAGGAATTGACATGATTTTTCTGAAAACTGCTCTACAAATGGCAAAAACAGCTGTATATTCCCTTCACAAAACTTCAACACGACAGGTAAGTTCTTCATTTTAGTAGGGCAAGAACTAACCAGACAACAAAATATTTGGCTATATAGTTGTCTATAGCTTCACTGATTTGCAAACTACTTTGTGGGGTATGTTTGGGATAAATACTAATTACATCAAATAACTGCAGTCTGACATACATCAAGAAAATTATGTGATCTAATGCTTTGGCTTGAAAACCAAAAGCACAGGAGACTTATTAAGTATAGAAGTGTAGATGTTTATAAACCAGATCATTTTAAAAACTCATTTTCTACACTCTACTATTGTAGCATATCCAAAAGAAAGCAGCAGAATGGGAAGTGAAGATGGAAGTCTTAGCAGGTAATACTTACTCATTTTTACAGAAAAAAAACCAAAACCTTTTGGCTTTGTACATTATCTCTAACACTACCAGCCAGTCATAACAGCCTAAGATAAATTTAAGTGTGATTTAACACAGAAATTATACAGGTCTTTCTAGCACACTTTTAAAAACTGTTTGTTTAAATATTTTGCTACTTTTCTAGAATACAAGCAGGCACTTAATAAAGCTCTGAGAAATACATATTCTGTGCAAAATTAGGTTTGTTCCTGGACTAGATTTTGTCTTCAAGCAGAAGCTACCTCTCTTCCTGCTTCAAAGGGCATGTTGCTGAAAAAGTAGAGCAAAGCACAGGTCAGTTTTCACACACAAAAAAATCATCCTGCTCTTAGCCACATAAATATTTTTGCCAGTTAAAGTGTCTTCCCAGTTCTTCTGATAACCAGATGGTTTTTAGTCATATAACTTGAGATGTGAAGTTGCACAAGTGCTTGAAACACAACTGCCATCCACTTAACTGTCTGATGTGGACAGCTTCAATGTTTAGTCATGATGTAGTGCAGAGATAAAAGAGATATGGCAAAACAGCAGATATTAGAAACAGAAGTCCATGGCTGTAGGACTTAAATGGCTGATTATCATCCTTGTCTCTAACACATATTCTTTATACTGTTCACAGAACTTAGGTTTGACTTACCAGCATCATACAAGTTCCATAAGAAGAAATCAGTAAGTATAAAACCTAACATAACTGAGAAAATGCTGAGGTAAATAAATTCTCCTTACTGAAATTTAAGTTTTAGCACCATATGTACTGGATGAAGAATGGTCACAGCATTCAGTCACATCACTGCTGTTACTGCATTTTGTAGCTGAACATGGAAGAGCATCATGATGATGCCAGTCAAAGCTCTACACAAAGATAAAAGCCAGCACTGCAGTCAGATGTGGTAAAGCTAAGGGTAGCTCTCTGCTCAATCCTGTCTGCAGCTCAGACCTGAGTGAATGCAGAGCTGAAGGCCACAGTGCCAAGGATGTTACAGCAGTAGCATTATTTCAGAGCCAGCTGGAGGAACTTATGCTCACTGGTAAAAGATACAGTCAAGACACCACAGTATGGCAGCCTAAGCCCACAGCAAGCTCCTTGCTACTCAGTGCTGCCTTGGAAGCCATGGATCCCCATCCCTTACCACAGGGCAAGTAGAGAGGAGAATGAGCAATAGTTGAACACTGTTAAGTATGTTCCAGCAAAGAACAGAAGCTTTAATCAGCTGCTGACTTGAACTTAGAATTATTTAAGTCTGTCCTTACCTTTGCTACTTCACAGTTGAAACATTATACTATATTAACCAGGCTTCAGCAGAAAGTTTTAAGTTCTGAATTTATTGCCAGCTGCTATTAAACATAACCACAAGATTACAAAGTCCAAAACCTTTTACATTTGAATGAGATGCCAGAAAAATTGACAGTATAAACAAAACTATAAATAGAAAAGTTTTCCAGGGTTTTATGTTAGCAGTAAGCATGCTTCTTAAACAAAAAAAGCTGTAACCCAATAAAATGAAACTTTTCTCTAATTGTAGGTTGACATTGAAGTGGATTTCATTAGATTTTCTGCCAAAAAAGTCCTGAATTGAGGCAGGTATTTAAAATCTACTGAAAATGGAACAATAAAACCACTAATTTTTTAAATTCTTTTATTTGAGTATTACTGATTGCCATCTCCATTTTCTGTTTTCAGTTGTTTTGGTGCAGGTTCTTCCTTTTCTGTTTCCTCTAGTGGTCTCTTCTTGGGACTTGATGGTTCTGCAAGATTGAATATGTAGTCATTTAGAGTAATGGAAAGCTTTACCTGAAATCTGAAAAAACCCAAACTCTTCCCATCATCTAAGTTTTGAGTCCCAGTTATCTACAGCCATGGCTACACTAGAGGGTTTGCTTTTAGATGTTTTAAAATGCCCCATTTGAAGAGCTTCACCCCTGTCTAACTCCACAGCAGGAGGGCAGGTAAGAAAATGAAGGAATAGAATGTACCAGGAGTAGGGTTTAGTTAAGCAAGTGCTGTATGTAATGAACAGGAGCTTAGCTCTTCCTCTGCTCCAAGCTAAATACTGACAGGCCAAACTATTAAATATAAAGAAAAAAAAAAAAGCACTACTCAAGAGACTGAGTCTGTACAGTTGTGTAGTGCTACTGACAATCACCATGTTTCAATGCATAGTTTTACACAAATATGCAGTATAGCCTTATCTATATACTATTATATAGATAATTACTATCTAGATAGTAATTCTTTTTAATATGCTTTTTGGACAGTTGTGGCAGGAATTGAGCACAAGACTATTAAGGCAGATACTGGCAGGAGGGCAGAAATGCTACAGAGCAGAGCCAAATCTGAAACACTTGTCAGAAACATAAGTATGTGGAGCTACTTTCTCTAAAGGTACTGAATAAGCTGCACCAAGTGCACAGAATGACATACCTGTTTTAGTATCATTTTCACCATCTTCTTCATCATTCTCAAACTTTATTTTCTTGCCCTGAAACTGTATTTTTCCTTTTTGTCCGCCCTGAGGTATCTTTCCCCCTCTTCCTTTTCCTTTCATTTTGCGCCCTGTGGAGATACAAGATCAGGAACTTTGTATCATTTCTCTTTTAACTGGCCAGCTGCAGAGATTGTTTAGTGAATTTCATCCACCAATTCTAGGACATTATAAAGGCTTAAATAAGATGAGGGAGAACCTTTTGTTTTCTGTTTCAGCAATTCCTGCTGATCTTCCAGAATTTTTTTCAGAGCTTCTTTCTCTGCATCTCCTTCTAGCAATTCCCATGAAACATCCTTGTTCCGGAGCTGCAAGTTTCCATTATGTGCTGCTTTGGCTTTTTCCAGAGCTTCTTTGGCAATATCCTTAAATAGGATAATTCCCTTTAAAAGAAGAGTGGCATTGCATTAATTTTACTGCAAAAACATTCAGCTAGATGATGAACAATATATCCTCAGCAAATTCATTACTTTTGTATGATAGTAAAACATGTCTAGACTGAAGCAAAGCCCTCAGACTGTGCTAATGAACTTTCTTAGTTTTGACCTTATCAACTAACAAGGCTGGAACCTCTATCTGTTCTTCTGAAAGAAGTTAAGGGAAAAATTTAATTCTCTAAATATTCTGCAATTTCACAAGACAATAACTTATCAATAACATAAAAGAACAAACATTTAATCATTCATTTTCAAACTTCAATACTAAAATCTTAAGTCCTTGTCTAAGATTACAGACCTCCTTTGCACCTCTGACAAAGTGTATCCACTTGATTTCTCCGTGACCAGAAAATACTCCATGGAGGTCTTCTCTGCACGTTTGGTCATCTAGATCACCAGAAAACTTCAAAAGACATCCTGTCTTTTCTTCCAGAGACTTCTAAATTAAAATAAAAACCCCCACATTATCACTGAACAGTCAAGTGTGAACATTCATATTCCCCCCTCAATCCTATTAAACATGGTAGTGATGAATAAGCAGTTGAAGTTACAGTAATTTGAGTATTTTTCCTGCATAACCTAGTTCGGCTGATGTCCAAGTCTTGTACAGTGTGTCCCCTCCTTTGAGTTTTCTTTGCTTACTGTGATACACTTATATGGAACTTAGCACTCCTTTCCCATATTAATTGCACTCTTTAAATTTTACAAAACAGCTTTCTGAAGGCTGATAAGTTGAAAATTTATATAGTACTGATGAGATCCTTAATGGATCCTTTAAACATCATAGAAGAACCATCATCTCCATGGTGCATAATGTAAATTCAGGACATGAGCCTTTAAACAAAATTAGGCTATTGAAAATAATATTAAAACACCATTACAAAACACTCTTACTGTAAGTTAGCTGGAAAAGATGAAGTGACTTTCTAGAAAGTGCTCTATATTACAGCATTTGAAACAGAATATTTCATGTTAGCTTTATAAAATGTGGGTGATTTAAGAAACCCATACCATTTCAGCATCTGCTGCTTGTTTCTGCTTTTCTTCTTTTTCCCTGCAAAAAAGTTAAATTAGTTCTGAGTTAGTTCAAGCAAGGTCAGGCAAGCAAGACACACACTTTGATTGGCAATGACTCACTGTTTAGCTCTTGCTTTCGCTTCTACTTTGTTTTGTTTCCTTTCTTCATTCTTCTTTGTACAATACTCCTCCCTTCAACAGAATACAGGTTAATTTAAAATATTCTGTTAAAATACATGTGAAACAGTTGAAGTTATTTTCCCAAGCTCAGATGCTAAGTCTCAGTCTCCACAAGGTACATCAAAGGTACATGCCATGAAAAACTCACTTCTCAGGCCAAGCCTGGTTCTTGTGTAAATCCACCCCTGACCACTGTTAGTTCATATATCAGTTAAGTGGACTTACTTGAAAAGTACTATCAGCTCTGTGTCTTTGTACTTTTGATTTGGTATCTCTGTGAACTTCTTAGCAGATTCAACACTATCAAAAACTGCAAATATTGAGCCCTGTTAAATGATAAAAGATATTGTCAGAGTAATTGAAAGCAATGTTGTCCAGGGGGGATCCCTGCCCCAGGTCTAAATGCTCATAATCATTACCTTAAACGTTCTCTGCAATGTTCTCCTCATTTGAATATTTTCCACTGGACCTTTATCCTCAAGCCATTCTTTGATATCATCAAGAGTAGCATCTAGTGGAAAGCCTTTCTGCAAGGTAGCAATGAGCCTCAATTGTATGCCACAGAGTGACACTTAAAAACTATAACCTCAATAGCACAAGTTAATTCAAGCTTTACTCTCAGATGGTTATCAGTTAAAGTCGTGCAGGAGAGTACAAAGAAAAAATTACTTACAACGTATACAGATCTGTTTTTAATTGCAGCCTTATACTGGTCATTTAATTCAGGAAGGGGTTTATTTGGAGATCTTCTGATTTTAGTTTTGTCTTCATTTATTTCCATTAAACCCGTCTTGGACTTTCTTAGTGCTTCTACAATAACACCAAAATCTTTTGAAAGGCGACTTAACCTATTGAGCAAGCAGACAGAGGTTATTACAAATACACAGGCAAAACTGAAGCCAGATGTTAAAAAAGCAATGGGAAATGTAAATGCACATCATGAACACTTGGCTCCAAATAGAGATTGGTAGCTGAAAGTTACTCTTTTATCCACATTAGTTGTACTTTGCTTTACCTGTTGAATTTGATCATTACTTCTAAAGGTACCCAGCCATCATCTAGTTTGATCTGTTCCTTTAGAAACTTGTCTCTTGGTAGATTGTGATTGCCAAAATAGTACTGCAAAAAGGAAGTGGGAAGGGGAGGAAAGAGAGATGTGTCTTTAGATTTTCAGTCTTAAAAGCTCATTTTCATCTAACAGCTTACTGCAGTAGATTGAGACATACCAAAATTAATTAATCTGAACAATTGGGAATTCTGCAATTATTACTTCCTGCTCTAATGTGATACTTTGTGAAAAGTTAGCTGCAATGTATAAGCTGTAAAAACAAAATCACCAGAAACAAGCTCCACAAAAATGCAAACAAACCAACCCTACATTGAAACAGTGCTTCATCCAATGGAATTAATAAGGCAAAGATAGATTGCAGTTTTGTTTAGGAAAGAAGCAAAGCTTAT